AACATTTTCAAACCAAAAGGAGTATATATGTTAACAAAACTTGCATTTGACTTACCAATTAACAATGGATACTTTCATAACGCGGATGCAGGTAGGCAGCGTCTCGAATATATCGCTCTAGCCATATAATGCCGAAACCACAAGCCTACTGCAGCTCTATCTCTATCGGTGGGAGGTAGAAACTCTGTGCTTCCCGTCGTCAAACGCGCCAAGCACATGCATACGAGAGGACCACAATCCCCTCTGGCTCCCGGTGATTGTTGTGGCGCGGTCTCGTCTCTGACAACTGTGACATTGAACTTCTTTGGCTTCTTGTGTCCAGAATGAGTCCAATAATTAATCACATCCAAGAATTTAGCCAAATGAGAACTCCATCCCTTGATAATATCTCTCAAATCAGACAGTGATATGTAATTTATCATGCTGTCATATACTATTATCTTCAGGGATGAGAGCTGAAGTTGGACGAGAAGCCAATGATGACGTTCCAAAATAGGGATAAACACCTACAATCATAAGTAATAATTCATTTATTTGCGCACTTATTTATGAACACCTTTAAAAAATTTTAAAAATAAACACTAACCTTATCGACCTCCCACCATGCAGGATAAAGTTTAGCTTGTCCATTGCCCGACGAAAATGATTCATCTCGTTGATTCTTCAAGTGAACTGCGTGAAAAGCCACCGGCATTATTGTATATCGCGAATTTTTTTTATTTTTCCTAAGCTTCCTTATTATTAGAAGACGTGACACCCACGCATCGATATGCTGTTTTACAAAAAAAGACATATATTAGTGAATTACATTAATTTTTAAAAAAATTAATCAAAATCATATATAAGACAAATATAAGACTTACCTCCCCATCGAAATAGCCACTGTCTTCAACCCCTAATAACACACCCCACTAAGATCGATTAAGCAACAAATACATCTCATCGTTGAGTTTGCTTATGTCAGTATAACACCCTTGGCTCCGCTCATGTAGATAAAAATCAACTGCGGTCTTAGCCCAAAGGGTATTATCCAGAATTGTTTCCGGTAGTTGTCTCCTCTCCACTTCAGATACCGGAAGGGTACTAGCCGGTAACTCATACGAGAGCCAACTCTCATCCATCATGTCCGGCAAAAGTAGGGGCTTCTCAATAATTCGATATATTACCCCATTTGAATCGGGCTCTGGAATGGTGGGAGGGACCTCTTCAACGATGACAGTGGCCTCTTGAACGGTGGGGGGGACTCTTGAGGGATGATAGGGGCCTCTTGAACGATTGGAGGGGACTCTTGAGGGATGACAGGTGAGTCGGGCTTCTTCTTGCGGAGTCTTCGCACCATTGGGGTGAACGGAGACGTAATAGCACGTGCACGCCGTCTGATACGTGAACTCCGTCGTGCAAAGAAAACCCGACGTAAAGCATCCACCTTATCGGGCCGCTAAAAAAAATTAATACATAAATCAGTAAATAAACATACATGATATTAAACAAAGACAAATATGTTTCAAACTTGAATTGTATTCACCCAAGTCATTATTCTATCATAGTTCACAAAATGCATCAGATAAGATTCCAGAAGTAAGCACTTATATAAACATTTAAAAGGACAACATATATAAACATTTCAGAAGAAGAATAGTTTACTTTTGCTACACGAAACTTACTTTCGCAACGTGAAAATGACTATCGCAACGCGGAAATGGCTATCGCAACGCAGAAATGGCTATCGCAATGCGAAATGAAAATCGCAAAGACAAAATCGCAACGCGAAACACAAATCGCATTGCGATTTTCATTTCGCGTTGCGATTTTGTCGTTGCGATTTTCATTTCGCATTGCGATTTTGTCGTTACGATTTTCATTTCGCATTGCGATAGCCATTTCCACTTTGCGATAGTCATTTTCGTGTTGCGAAAGTAAACTATTCTTCTTCTGCAAATTGAAACTTGAATGGATTGCATTACTTCAACCAAAAGACAAAAACAAATACTAACAAAAACAGTTTAGCAGTATTGGCAGCAACTGAATGAAATTATTAAGCAATCTAAGTGAAATGGTTAATCTAAGTGAAATTACGAGTAAATTTATCATCAAGTTAAATATGAAAAATCTTAAACTTACCTCGTTGCGTAGAGTATGAACCTCATTTTGCAACGATGCTACCATCTCACGTAGAGCGGCTACCTCACCGCGTAAAGTAGACACCTCAACACGCCATGCACCATCGTCTTTGCGTAAAGTACCGACCTCCTCACGCAAGGCATTAACCTCATCACGTAACTCCCCTAACTCATCCCGTGGAGGTGGAGGTGGAGAACAGGGAGATAAACGTCGTGGCTTCTTTGCCGGTCGCCTATCTTGCGGTGATGGTGGAGAAGAGGCTCGATGATGTGACAGAATAGGTGATGGCTGTCGTTGTGGAAATGTATAGTCGGGTCGATCAGGTGATGGCTCTGGGTGAGGTGATAGCTCTGGGTGAGGAGATGGCTCCCGAAGTGGAGGCTGCTCATCATCCGTGCCATCAAAAAAACGCTTACTAGCTTGCCACCAATCAGTGGCAAGCTCAGCTTCCGTGGGTGTCAGCCTCTGTAATGGAGTGTTGGCCTCCTAACAATATAAAAGCTCAAACAAAGTTAAACGTGTACTAATAATAACTTGTTTATAAACATATGGTAGTATTTATGTTAACTTACATTATTTATTGTCGTATACCGCAGTAAATCTTCCCATTGCAAGGTCCGTTTCCTCTTCCAGGAAATAGCCCTGGGAATATCATTTGAAGTTTTTATTGCATATGTCTTCATGGCGGGAAAAGCCTCAAATATCCAAATCTACAAACAATATAATAACAAACATTAGTAATTGTTAAATAATTACTTATAATTTTGGAAACATTATATAAAAATTCTTACCTTAAAGGCCCAAATAAAGCCTGTCAAAGTGTATTTGGAACCATCGCCATGCAAACTTTTTCGATCATCCAAGGCAGACGATAACTTATTCCATGTAGCTTTCCATAAATACGAGCCCCACGGAAACAGGTTCCACGCATTTAGGTCTTCTACCAATTTGATTAGATCATTCGGAATAGGTTGTCTGGTCTCTCTGCCTAAAAAGCCGGCATGCAAAAGTATTAGAAGGCATACTCGGACAACATCGACGTCATCCATCTGAGTAAAACCATCTTTCTTATTCAATAATCTCGTCAGGTCTTCCACGTGTAGATTCGGCCTCTCCAGCTCAGGAAAAACCCAGGATAACCATGATGGGTGGGTAATGTGTCTAGTGTACCGACCTACATCATCGTGTCCTAAGCGTAGACCGGTGATTAAGCAAAACTCCTCCCGCCCAAAACATGTATACGCCGGTAGAAAATCAAACCATATCTCTTCATCACGACGTTGTATAGTATATGGTAGATCGCTAGTCATGGTTTGAAGAAACAGGTGTGTCAACATCGCATCTCCACCGGGATGTTGTACTTTCAGCCATGGCCCGAAGCAAGTATCCTCAAACATTTTTCTTTATGCAGGTGAAAGCTTCGACACAATTGTTTTGGCCAGGCTGACTTTATTTCTTAAGGTCAATTGAGCCGAATAAAAGTTCTACAAAAACAATAAACATACTAAGTTAGATATACCAAAAACTACACTGTGAAGATATACCAAAAACAATAATAAACATAAAGAGTAGTAGTTTATTCTTCAAACTTAAATTTGCAACACTGTGAATTTCTTATTTGTATTTGTTTTTTGGTTGAAGTAATGCAATTCATTCAAGTTTCAATTTGCAGAAGAAGAATAATTTCTGAAAATGAAAATCGCAACACGAAAATGACAATCGCAACGCGAATTTGACTATCGCAACGAGAGAATAAAATCGCGTTGCGATTTTGTCGTTGCGATTTTCATTTCGCGTTGCAATTCTCGGTTGATTTAATAAGCAATCTAAGTGAAATGGTTAATCTATTATTGAAATTACCAGTAAAGTTATCATCAATTTCAATATGAAAAACCTAATAATAATGCAAAAATTTCAAAAAGAAAATAATTAAAAAAACTAACCCTCGGTGGTTGATTTGGTTGATTTTCCATTTCTGATTGTGAGGGTGGCTCTGAGAGATGGAGATAGACGGATTTCGCCGGAGATGGGGACGGATTTCGTCGGAGATGGGTGAGAGAGTGAGAGATGGAGATGGGACTGAGTTGTGATTTTAGGTTTTAGGTTATGTGTTGCGATTACGGGATATACTGTGGACGGTTCAGTGTTCCAATATATTAATATTCGTGTTTAGAATTTGAAAATAAAATACGCTTTGCGATACTAATGGCGCTTTGAAAATCGCATTGCGATTATGTATTATCTCGTTGCGAAAGTCAGTATTGCGTTGCGAAATTAAGTATCGCGTTGCGAAAGTCAGTATCGCGTTGTGATTTTGTATTATCGCGTTGCGATAGTCAGTATCGCGTTGCGATTTTCCAAATTCGCATTGCGATTTTCCAAATTCGCATTGCGATTTTCCAAATTCGCATTGCGATTTTCCAAATTCGCATTGCGATTTACTTATTCGCATTGTAAATTGGGAAAATCGCAACGCGAAATTGGAAAATCGCATTACGATAGTCATAATCGCGTTGCGAATCTGGAAACTGATTTGCGATAATGGAGATCGCGTTGCGAATTAGCGATCGCATTGCGATTTTGTTGGTCATTTTAGAAAATCCGAAAAAAATTAATTAAAATCGTATATTATATGAGATTTTTAGTCACTGAAATTATTTTCTCATAATTTAATTGCCACAAAATAATATTCATTTTAACCAGAAAAGTTTTCTTTTTCAACAATTTGCCGCGCGTGGGTGTACGAAACCTAAAAATCTTTACAAATATCGTTGAGTTACACTGTCGAGTCAGTCACGAGTTTTTAGCCTTACAAGTTTAAAATACGCGAGGATCCGTTCGCGAAACAGGCAGCGAATCTTGAATCTCTTTTACACATCCAAACATATGACTGGTCTGCTATGTTAAAAAAACAGAAAAAAGAGAGAAAAATAATGGACTTGAGCTTGGATTTAAGCTTTGTTTATGTACCAGCAAGCATATCTGAGTTTTTGAAAGAAGTTTCAAATATAAAAAATGGGTTCCAAAGATTATTGAAGATTAGTGATTTTGTTAAAAGATTGGAAGATGAGATGAAGAAAATCGACGCATTTAAACGCGAACTTCCCCTTTGCATGCTTCTCTTGAAAGATGGTATTTTTTTTTAATTTTCGTGTTGAATTTTGATATTTCCCCCTTTTTCTGGGATTTAATTTGATTATTTTTATGGGATGTTAGGGATTGAGAGGTTGAAGAAGGAAGAAATGCAGTGCAAGGAAATGGATGATGGATCAGTGCAGAAAGAGTTGATGCTTCCATTGAAGGAAAATACTGAGGAAAACGAAAGGGTAAATGTGGAAAAAGATTGCGGTGACAAGAAAAACTGGACGAGTTCTGTTCAACTCTGGAACTCTGATTCCGACAACGTTGATCACAGCAAGAAATCAAATGAATTTCCAGAACTGAAACTGGTAATTCCCAAACCAGCTGTCTGGTTTTCATCTTATTTTATAGAAAAGTATTACACTAATCTTTTTAAGGGGCATGGATTTGACAGAGAAGTGAAGAAGAAGAAGAAGAAGAGAACCCAATTGAACATTGCAATGACAAAATAGTTAAGCAGCAAGTGGATAAGGAAAATTTAGGGCTTTCTCTCATGTTCCCAAGTTCTGAATTGGGTTCTTGTAAGTCAATTTCTAAGAGCAATGGCAGCCGTGGAATTGGCTTTTGCCCTTCCTTGTATTCAGATCAAAACCAACTTGAGTTTCAGACCAAACATCAACAACAGCATGAATTGCTGCAGCATATGCAGAATTCTAGGAAACGAAGGCGGCGCTGGTCACCTGAGCTTCATAGACGATTTGTCGAAGCTCTTCAACAGCTTGGAGGTTCAAAAGGTTAGGCCTTTGCAAATAGAGTAATCAGATTTGATGAGTTCATTTTTAAAAGAACCTTTTCTTGGCAGCTTCTGTATGTTCTCAGTTTCATAGAATTATGTCTTTCTTAGGACCAAAAGATTGAAATCTTATTCTTTTTTGGTGTCTTAATGTTCCACAGTGGCAACTCCTAAACAGATTAGAGAACTGATGCAAGTTGATGGCCTCACTAATGATGAAGTGAAAAGCCATTTGCAGGTTAATGTTCAATTAACATAAGTAATCTATTCATGTTGTGTCTTGTTGATCTCCTTTATGTTCACTGAATTTATGTGTCGGATTTGGTTCTATGTGCAGAAATACAGACTTCATTTCCGAAAGCTTCCGGCTTCTTCAGCTGGGCAAGGAAACATGGGAGAGTCAACTCAAAATCAGTGCAATAATAAACACATGAAAGCAAACATTTCACAGTTAGTTTCCCCACAGGGTCCCTTCCTTGCCGGTGCTCGAGCAAAAGGCATGTCAAGTATCACCAGAGGCGACAGCATGGTCACCGAAGAAGATGAAAAATCAGATGGCCGTATTTGATGTATAGTCAGATAAGTTGTTCCATGAATTTTGCAATAACATGGGGAAACGGATCATAATTACAGTGACTTAGAAAGATTTTAAAGAGATTTTTGCAGATACCAATTGGACTGTCTGTTTCTCCATTGATCAAGATCCTTGTCTGAATGTTGGATATGTATGAACCAATATAACAATCTTTTGCAGAGTTGTTCCATTAATGTTAGGACTTAATGACAACTAATGTACTTGATATTTGGACATTCTCAACAGCCCAAACAGTCTGCATTTGCAATCATTGTCTTATGATGGATTCCGGTTTCAGTCGGGATTTCGGTTCATAATTTTTTTTCTGCAATAATGGTGACCCATTTAGATTAGTCATAGTCATCCTTGTAGCTTAGGCCCTTTCATTCGTCAGCCCACTTAGCTACGTTACCTTTTATTCATGGGCAAATCACATGTATGGCCATACTCACCAATATCTGCAAAGTAAATTGTACCATTAAAATTTAAAAAAGTTTATGTTGCATTCATTAACATTATCATTTATTTTTAAAATGATCATCGATGTTATTTTTTATAGAAAAAGTAGCAAATTTTATTAAGAAAAAATCCAAAATTACACATTAGGGTTTATAATTACAATTGTAAACTAAACCCATAATCAAGATATTTTTCTAGAACCATTAAGACCAAAAACAAAAAGCAACTTATGATCATATATGGACCATACGATGAAAAGGTGAAAAACTTATTCAAAAAACATTGAACAATATGGGGATATGAGCAGATCTGACTGTTACAGCAAACAAATCATAATAGGAGATTAAATTATTCACTTAAGATCATTGATGTTATTGTTTATCATAAAACGTGCATTTTATTATTATTTTTTTAAGAGTAAGATTGACGTCATCAAATAGAAAAAAAGACTACTATTCACTTAAGTGACAATAAGTTTAATTTTAAATTTTTTGTTTTTATCAGAATTTTCCTTGATTTTCTTAAAAATACTCCCCATCAGAGAAAAATCATCAGAATGAACAGATAATAGTTTCATTAAAAATATGTTATTGGTACATGAATCTCTTAGGAAAATAATCTGCTAGCTCTTATTTCATGACCAGTTGTATTCTGACTTCACCATCTGCATCATTCTTGTATTCTTCCATAGCAACTGAAATGGGTTTCGGCTCAACAAACAATACATTCTTATGACACTAAAAAGTCATGTAAATTATCATAAATAGTATTCAATAATTAGATATAATAATATAAATAAAAATAATAAAAAAGAATGGATATTTACTTTTATCTGACTAATTTCTAGGATTTCAACTGTTTTAACCCACCATTATCTAAATATTCATCACTACTTCCCAAGTTTTTGGACAAAAATCAAACCAATACATGCACAATTTTATAAGTAAATATTACAAACAAACTTCAAATATATTTTATTTTCTCATAAAAGACTATAGCATGAAGTTTTGAATGAATCCTTCTGAATGATTATAATTATTAAAATCCATGTAAATTCTCTATTAATTTGGTATTAAGAAGAATAATGTAAAAGAAACCATGTGATCAGAGAATCCGTCAAAGACACGAATAAGCTCTCATCGTTTTTCTTTAAATCCAACAAAAGCACAAATGAGATATTATATTTTCCATTTTCACCGATTAAAAGTTTAAACTTATTGACCGAACACATCAATTTGACAAATGAATATTGTTTCTACTATATATAAAAGAAGTTGCATGGGCATGCAAACTATTGATTCAAAAATCTCCCGGTTTCATAGAGAAGTAACTTTGACCATATGATCTCTTTACACGACTTACCTCTCCTTTCTCTACTTTGAACAAACGAACTGTTTTTCAACTAGATTTGATTTGCATTTCTTTTCTAACTAATGCGGTTGATTTTATTTATAATTTAATTTGGTGTTTGTTAAGTAAAGACAATGCCCTAGTTAAGTCATATGGTTCCTGGTGTGCTTACTGTTGATATATTCTTGTGCTTAAAAGAACGAAGCCGAAATTAATTGCAAACATTAATTTGACTAAAACTAGAGATACAAGTACAAGAAACAATGCAAGAATATGAAAGGAATACGAAACTGCATAAAACTAACAACTTCGTACGTACAACGCCTAGAATATGTTAATGGTGATCAATGGCCTGCTCCGGGGCTATGTCCGGGGGTTGTAGGTCAAAAAGCGTCTATGTATTCTTCTAAGGACCTGAAAACATGGTGGGTTGCCTACATTTTTGTTCTTCCTCGCACCGGGTCTTCCACCCAATACACCCACATTTTTCTTCAGTTCCAACCTCCTTCCCTCGATAAATTTAAGCGTTTCATGTGACAAAACGAACAACTACATCTCACATTAGCCATGCCTACGACGCTGAAGTTATAAAAAAAGGAAGTATTAAAGTTATATAGCGCTAGTCTTTGCAAGTAAACTACAAGTCTACAACGAAAGAAGCTATGGTTTAATTCAATACTCTACCTGTGTATTTATAGTGCATAAAAGGATTAAAATACTGTAGAAAGAAAGAGGAAAAAGGGGGGGGGGGGAGAAGTACGTGCAGTCATATGTCTTATGCAAAGTTTCAATGAACTCATAAAAGATACTATTATTCTCCCTAAAGATTTCATGTTCGAATAAGGTGTGTATTATCAATTAACTAAGAATATTCTGAACAATTACTACCATGTAATCACTCGAACTACAAAAATTAATTCCTGAGATGAAATGCTTTACTGCAAAATCATATTAAATTTGTTATGGACAGTTCGATGAAGTTGATAATAATAAAATAGGAAAACACGTGATCACGAGTGTTTTTTTTAAAAAAAATTCTTAAGCAAAAGAGGAAGTAATCTAACATCAAAGAAAATATATAAGATTTAAACATGGAAAATTCTGTAACGTGACTTCAACTATTTTTATTCCTGAGGAGCCCTTTGTGGAATTGTGAAGAAAAATGTGAAGGCATCCAACTATAGTTTAATCTGAAGTAAATCAATATTAAGTAGTTGCTAGAGCCTAATTTAAGGTTAAAGAAAGTCACAATAAAAAATATTAAAAAAATTAATATTTTTGAATGAGAACAATTACAAAAGTTAATATTTTCTTAATATTTTTTCTATTGCACGTCTTTTTTATAACATTTTACACGCACATGGATAAGTTTTTGCCATTCTTCTCCTTGTAGTGCCATTGACCTTCTGACAAATTATCTGCAAAGAATAAAAAAAACCTTATCAGATGTCTCAAAGGGTGTATTTGGTTCACAGAATGTAAGATTACCAATGAGAATATAAGATCACCAATGGGAATGTAAGATTACCAGGGAATAAGATTACTGAGAATGTTGTATTTTGTGTTTGGTTGGCTTAGCAGGAATGTAAGATTACCGTGTTTGATTAAAGGAATAAAAGATTATTGGAATATATATTTGACCAAATTGTCCTTATTATATATTTGTTTTTTTAACAATTTGGAAAATATTTATATATTTTCTTTAAAAAATTTAAATTCATAAAATTTATATAATTTTTTTTACAAAATTGAAAATATAAAAAGGTTTAATGAAAGGGTAAAATTTTATTTTAACCCCTGAACTTCATATAAAATTTTAATTATAGATTTTTTTTGTAAATATAAATAGTTTAAGGATAAATTTGTAATTTAACATTCTTAGAATTTTTATTATTCAATAACAGAAGAAGGATATTTTTGAAAGAAAAAAAATTAAGGGCATTTTAGTCCAAAACGCTGGTAATCCAACAATACCTAAGAAAAGGGAGGTAATGACATTCCTGGTAATATACCCAAAAAATCTACTATTGCTAATCTTACATTACCGGGAATGAGATTCTCGGGCTAACCAAACGAGGAAATGTGAATTTCATTCCCATGGGAATCCCACATTCCCCCATCCAAACACCCCTGAGTTAAGGACGATAACATTTATTATTGATTTCTTTGCTCAAATATCAACGAATCTTTGGAAACAAACGGTTATTAGTACAAGATTCCATTGGAATATTCTCTTTAAAAGATTTGCGGCCCACTTAAACTAAATTTACTTTTGGGGCTACCACTAGCTGTTACGCATGCGAGGCTTTATTGGTTGTCGCAAATAAGCCATTTTCTGCCTCCCAGAAAACAAAGAGGTTTGTATATATATCTACAGTAACACTTTCCAAATATGTATATATATACAGTAAGAGTAAAAAAATTGTTTGATATTTAAAAATTAGTCAGTTAAGTGATATTTAAAAATAGTCGAAACGGGCTTATATCAGAAAGAATTGTCCAATATAAAATAATTACGAAAATATCTTTGATATATTTATAGATTAAGAGTAGGATACTTATCAAGTTAATCGATCATGAGTTATATAGTGATCGCCACTATCGTTTGTCAAGTCACTAGAGAATGGTGTCCAAATGTAGAAAGTTTCACCATAAGAGTTTTCACCAAGCTATATTCAAATAATTTCAATCACATAAAATAGTGTATATTCAAGCAAACCTATAATTAAAGATGATAATATCTTGTCATATCATACCAGTATAAGGATTAAGGACTAGTTAATGATGAATTAGAAAATGCATGAAACAATTGAAGATAAACGATCCTAAACCCAAAAACATGATAATCGATAACCCAAAACCAAGTTAATTTCAACAGACTAAAATAAAGAAAATGCAGTTAAATGAGAACGAAAACAATGAATTTTAGAACAAAATTATTTAAATAAAATGAGAAGAACGACGAGATAGGTAAACGAATCTGTCATGGTTGTCGAATTAGAGATGGAATCGTCATAGATAAGAAACAGTTTAGTATATGAGTCGTGAGGGGGGCGGGGCTGGTGGTTTGAAGAGTGAAGTTGGATATAATATTTTTATTGTTAAGAAATAGTTTTAAGGTAATATTAAAAAATATTTTGAAAAATTAATGAGTTTATCGCGAACTTATCGAGTCGAGTTAGATTTTGTTCGACTTATTTTTTAAGTTCTTGAGTCGATTTTGAGTTCGAATCGAGTCAACCCGATTCGAACGTTGACCGAATTTTGACTGCATCGAGTTCAAGCATTTCACTAGTTGCTCAACTCATTAAACATCCT